CATTCAGAGAGTTTTGTTGGAGTAAGCTATCAATCTAAACAGGTGTAAGTCTAGGTAATCTAACTCTGCTAAGGTAAGACTGTATCTCTAGGACAAATTGGACATGAATGCATGGATCTTCCTTCAGATTATATAGTTTAGCATAAAACTGAGCAAATGTTGCACTAATTTCTTGAGGGCCCAACCATTTGTTACCATCTTCTCCAAAGAGATTGGAAGATAACTCTGCTCCAAGTCTATTGGCCAGAAATTTGTTAGCTTTCCCACTAGTGTGGTAGGAAGTGTCTCACAACCTATGAAGAAAATATGCAGTTTTGGTGGTATTACGAATATGGAGTTTACTATATTGAGACTGAAGTTCTGCAGCCAAAGCTGGGGTAGGATTCGCTTTTTTCTGTGTAGAGAGCTAGTCTATTTGTTGGTAGAAAGTCAGCAGTTCAGCTTGATGTTTCTTTTTAATGTAGGAGGAGTGTCTAAGATACTGGCTTATGGGCCAACTGTCAGGATTACTGTAGATGCCCAACACACAGAACTTAAGTAGAAAACAAGAAAATACCTAAGACGTATTAACGGGCCTTAGAATGGCCGGATTGAATGTAAAAAGGCAAAAAGACACAAGATAGGGAAAAGCCAAGACAAAGGTATAACGCAAACGATAAACAAGCCATAGGGCAAGGAATGAAGATATCAGAATAGTCAGGAGCCAAGCCAAAAGTCAACAAATACAGAGTTTGGACAGTCAATAAGGGAAGCCAAGGTCAGATACACAAAAAATCAATACAAGGAACGCGCTCTCCGATAACCAACTGGAAACCACGACAGGGTTAATGGACAAACTAGGTTTAAATAGCTAAAGGAGTTTCCTGATAGGCTGTAGGTAAACATGTGATCAAGCTTATGTGTGTAACACACCTGTGGCGAAACCAACCTTGCCACTGGGCATTGGAGAAGACTGATTGCCAGCCTCCTGCCCTGTGACTATGGCCCCTGGGATGTATTGCCCTTTAAGGAACTGATTTGGGCATAATGGATTTTTTATAATTCTGTTCTGGCCCTTTAAGAACCGTCTGGGGACATATTGAGACTTTGTGTGACAATGCCCCTTTAAGACTATGTCCCCAGACCTTTAAAATCCTTTGTTTGTGGCTTTCTCCCACTTGGTTCAGTAAATGGGGCTTAATGAGCCAAGTACCACACAGGTGGACCACCCAGAAGTGGAAGCATGCAGGCAATTTACCTCCCAGGCTGGGAGCCTGCTGTAGGTAAATTGCCGACCGCTGGGGGGGCCGCTGTTCGTACAAACTAACACGTGGCGGCGACCATCTTTGTTCATTCGAACAAGGTCAGCGGTATGTGTAGCCAAATCCATGGAACTGAAATCGGCTACACATTTAGACGAACACCGCTGACCCCTACCTTCTCCTGCACTTCGGCACTGCGGCTGGAGACTAAGTTCCGTTCGAAGATTCGAACGCTCGTACTTGAGTACCTCGTGGAAAGGGAACTGAGCCTAGACGCCTCATACCGGGCACTGTGGTAGTGCACCGTCCAACCAGAGACGTGGAGGGCACAGGGCATCCAGCCGGAGGGGGAGAACTACACTAGCCCTGGCCTGTTGTGGAAGGCCTAAGCGGAAGACGTCGACTTCGGCAGTCCAGCAGAGTCACGGTACTGGGCTATCTTGCATTACCGGGGAGAGATGTTACAGGGCCCAAGATCTATTGGATTGGGAGAAGACCTCCGCCATTTCATTGTCATGGAACGAGAGCTGGAGATGGACTCGGGTCAGCCACAGAGCATGGACGCAGAACGGGAAAACTGGGTGGCAGACCCAGACCCGCCAGCTGGGAAAAAGCGGCCGAGGTACCCCCTGCTTCACTACCAGCTGCAGAAGTAGGGGACCTCATACACTGGTCCTGGAGAGACCCACAGATGGCAGGTGGAGATGGGACCGAGATCTCTCTACCGGCCCTACAGGGATGCTGGGCAGTCGGCCCAGATCCCCAGCAGCAGTGTGTATCCTTGGGAGAGGAGACAGTCGTTCTCTCTCCCCAGCGGCCAAGTGAGTTATTGGGAGGGGAGACAGTTGGTCTCTCTCCCCAG